AAGCATTAACGTGAAATGTAAGAACTTACATGAGGAATTTTAAAAACTGTGGTAATGCTTTTAAAACAAATCACACACCTGTGGTGAGGAGAACGAACGTGTATGCTACGCTTAAGCGGCATCAACATGTGTATGCGTCATGATATAATTACAGAAACGCAAAACATATAGTGCAGTACGGGTGTGTAAGTGTCTTTTGCCACTGTATTCAAGTCATATGAAGGGGGAAAAAAACCTGCGCAATTATTTAAACCATTTTATTAGGGGAACGTCCCTGTACAAGCAGTATGTTCCACTACTAGGATGACTTCGATTTTGCTATGTTCGTAAAGATGCTCCCTTTTTTGTGTACACTTTTAATCACCTACAGAATACGCAGCACCTGTCGCAGTTTAGTGCATTAAATTGCAGGTGCAATATTAGCCACAACAATGCGCATTCTTAACATGTGCTAATATTTGCCAGTTTGTATTCTCTTAAAAATGAGCTGAAGGAAATGACCCAAATACATAGTGCAAATTAATTTACAACAGCAGGGCAAGTATAACGATTCCAGAAATTTTAGGAACCACCTGTCGCCCCCCAAAACAAAAGCACAACTTTGCTAGGGTAAATGTAAAAATGTAAATAATTGGCTAATTTTTTTATGTCACAATTTTGACCCCATTCATTCGTCCGCGGAGCCGCGAGCAAAGAACAGCCCAAGTTAAGGGCTTCCATTCTATTTCGACTTATAAGTAAGTAGATTATAGATGTTTTCACGTGCGTATCACCATTTTGGTGTTGAAAATTGGTAGTGTATTTTTGCTTTCAGAAGTGCTTCATCACTTTGCCATTTTCTCATTTTATTTGTGTTTTTTTTTTTTTTTTTTCACCTTTTGAACTTTTCACAAACATGTTTGCGCCAAAGATGTTGCTGCGTAAAAGACCTTTTCTGCCTGCACGAGCTGTCCCTCTTTGTGCACAACGGAGAGTGGGCAGATTCATTACGTATTATACAAAGTCACACGAATACATCAAAATAAATGATGAACACTTGGCCGAATTGAAACACAACAACAACGTAAAATGCAAAATAGGCATTAGTAATTATGGAACAGAAAAATTGGGGGAAATCGTATATGTCGATATTGCACATAACATAAATGAGTACGTAAAAAAGGGGGACTGCATCGCAACGGTTGAGAGCGTCAAAAGCGTAGGGGATGTGTACACCCCCATCAGTGGCCAAATTGTCGACATCAATAACAGAATAGTCGACAACGTAAATTTAATGAATGAAAATGCGGAAACCGATGGGTGGATTTTGGAACTGCTGATCAACGATGTGAATGAACAGGAAATAATGAATTTCTCGGAATATAAGAAAATGTGCGAAGAAGAAGAGCAAAGGGAAGCAACAAAAATACAGCAGAGTGAACGCGATTGTCTAGAGGAAAAAAACAAAAATAAAATTTTCGATTTGAACGACATTAAGAATATTGAAGAGAAGCGGCAAAAATAACCCATACGAATTGAACACCAACATTTTGTCTGTAACGACTTGGTTTCTCTTCTCCCCCTGTCCCCTCGGTTGGATGAAATCCTATGTGTGTAAATCAGTGTGGACAATAGCAAGCAAAAAATTTGAAACAGGCGCACACAAATCTGTGCGAAAACGGAGGTAGCCATTGTCTTCAGCTATAACACAATTTGGCTGTAAAAAAAAAAAAAAAAAAAAAATGGCTACCCAAAATTGTTCATTTCAAAATTTTGTTCATAAAAAAAAAATTGTAATATGAGACACATTTCCAAGTAGCTTCAGATAAATATGTCTATTTTTTTTTTTTTTACAACTTTTCAAATGTGACCGCTGTAGATGTTTTGTATTTTAGTAGGTCTCATTTTCCCCTTTTTTTTGCTATCAAGAGAATAAGCATAATGAAGCACGATGCATGATGCTTATGACTATTTGAACAAGTCTGCCGCGCGGGGTGCCTCAAATGATGTCTAATGTGACAACCGTTATTTTGTTTATTATTATTACGTTATTATTATTTTTTTTTTCTCGTGTCTTACAGTTTTAAAATGATGCCGCATTTTTTCTTTTTTTTTTTGTGTTGTGATACTTGTTAAAAAACGTCACTTTGTGCATTTTTAAATAAAACTTGCTATAATAACCATCCTATTTTATTTGCTTCAAAAGAATGGAGAAGTATGTCTTCGGCTGAAAAAACTAATTACAAAGGTCAGCGCGTTTGGGTAAAAATTTTCATTTGTAATGAACGGTTCATAAAAAAATGTACGAAAAGCAGTTGCCAACTTAGAAAAAAAAAAAAAAAAAAACGCAGCGAATGGTGAAGTGGCTAAGTGGCAAAATGGTGAAGTACCGCATGGCCAATTGACCAAAGCCAGTGGCATGATAAGTTATGCGGCCAAGTTTAGCAACAAAACAGTAGCGCATAAACACGTATTTAAAAAAAAAAAAAAAAAAAAAAAAAAAAATTCATGTGCGCATCCTGGGTGTGAAGCAATATTTTTCCACGGCAATTCTGTTCCTCTCTTACACAGCTCGGTCAAAAATAAAATATTTTTTTTTTTTTTTTTTCAAATTAAACATCTTTTTTAAGAAATAGTTTTAAACACCAAAACAGAAAAGATTGTTAATCCGTCATTGTACATCCCATCATATCATTTTAGCCTTAAACATAACTTGTCAAACATTTGTGTAGAGAAAATATATAACAAAAAGCAAAAGAAAGAAAAAACAAATTTATAAGCAAACTTCTGGTATACATACACATTTATGCTTATATATATGTACAAAACGTGTGAACATATTAAGATAACCCTTTTTACGTGAAGGAGAAAAAATAGTTACAGCTGCTGGAAGCGCATTGCACAAGAATTGCTCACACAGCACTTACAATTTCTCACAGAACTGTTGTAAGGGAGCTGGAAAAAGGGCATCTGAAAAATACCCCAAACCACTTGAATTACCATAAATCCACTTACGAAAATGTGTTGTTGCGTGTGCGGCTTGTTACTTGTAGCCCTGGTTGCTCTAATTGTTATATTAATTCTTAATGGGATTATAAAGTTGAACTAGACGGGGGAGACAATTATTTGAACAATGGAAAGGGAGAAAAAAAAACAAAGTATGCAACGATGCAATGGATGTAGATATTTTTGTCAGACCCCCACAGAATGAACAAAATATTTTTGTGCGAAGTGTTAAGCTTGAAGACGCCCCAGTTGTAGGTAGAAGCCATAGCTGTCTTCACGAAGAGCACAAGAATGAGTATGCTTCATACGTTGGATTTATGATCAGTCATACCAATGGACAAAAAATAATAAATAATAAATAAATAAAGATAACGCGGCTAAGAACAAAGCAATGCTTGCGTCTTACGCCGACAACTTGTTACCCCATCCCCTGTTGTATGCATTGCAAAGATATATACCGCAGGGTACACACTTACATGCGTGTATGTATGTATGTTATTATGTAGTTGTGCGCTTAATTGTGCAGATACACGCCCCGTGCGTGTGTCTAAATGCGCAACCGTAAGAAAATTACACCCTAAGTCAGCCGCATGCCATTCTACTGCACAATCTGTTTCATCATGTTTACAGCGGTCCTGTATCCTGACACGATCGCGTTTTGCAAATATGTTTATTCATATGTACGTGCGCACGCATATTTGTACTTATCTCGTGTAAGGAATTTTTTTGTTTTTATCTTATTAAAAGAAACGTTTCATTGTAAATTTTGTATATCCATGTAACGGTACTTCAGGCGTAGTCCATGAAGTTTGTTTTTTTTTTTATGTATCAAATAACAGTAACATTTTTTAAAAGAAATGTTAAACCTTTGAGGGGAACCCAAGGTTGAGAATTAAAATAGCTATCTAAAAATATGTGCCAGTGCGTAGGTGTGCTTAGCTATGCGTAGGGCACATTAGGGTTACATCGAAAAGGGGGGTCTTTCTCTAGTTTTAGTAAATAACCAAAAGAGGAGTTTGCGACATCGTTGGTGGTGTGCGCAGTGCCAACTTGCCTTTGCACTATTGTTTGCCTAAATGGACTGGGAATAACTGCACAGCGTAAGGCGGTTCACACGAAGTTATCCAGTGGAACCAAGCAGAAACTCAAACGGAAATGTGTTTCTACAAATGGGTGTAGCTAAATGCAAACGCTTCTTGTCCACAAGGATATTAAAAATTCCCATCATGTTCTTTGAAAAGGGGAACTCCCAAGTGAACAGAATTTCATTTAATAAAACCTTTATGCACAGATGTCCCATTTTTTTTAGGGCACAGTGTTCTATGCGCTATAAAAATATTCAGCTAAAATTTGTTCCCATGGATATAGGTGGTACATCAACTAGATAAATACGGACACAACCTGCGCAGTCTTTTTTGCCGACTGTATATACTTGCCTATGCGAATATTAAGCCAAAATTGGGTTTATGCAAAAATCTTTTTTAAAAAGGGAAAGAAAAAAAAAATTATACTTAACAAAGTGTATACTTTTTTATTGCATATTCATAATACTGGCTAAATAAAAATACATTTTTTTTTTTTTTTTTTTTTTCGTTCTGCCAAACCTTGTGGTCGAAACAAAAGGATGGAAAAGAAAAAAGGCTCCAAAGAAAAATTCTTGTAAACATCGATCGACGCCAAAAAAAAAAAAAAAAAAAATATTTTTTTCAAAATTCATCTACAACAATTTTGTACGCCCTGTTGCATTTCCTACTTTTCTGTTAAAAAATTGTTTTCGAAAGGAACATATATAAACCAATGCATTGTGAAGTTTTGCAACATTTCGCACGCAAAATTGTAAGGGTCATGAGATTTTCGTGCGATCGCGTTGGTATAGAAGGAAGCGGAAAACAACCGGCGAAATCAGACTTTTGTTTTAAGAACCCGCAGGGAGAGGAAGCGGCTGATGGTGATTAGTCTGTAATAAGCCATCCACAATCCGTAAGGCCGAATGCTTCCCCCTTTTTCACTTCACCATGAGGCAAAACGTTTTTGACACCAAAGCAAGCAAAGTCAAGCGGAAGAGAAATATCTTACGAGTAAAAGGCGCCAAGAAGAAATTCCCCACCAAAAGTGAACCAAGCGAAAGGTACAAGAATATTCTGAATTATTACAAAAATGAAAGAAAAACGAACAAATTTATTGATAAGAGAAAAAGTAAGAAGAAACATATAAACAACACAAGGTTTAAGAAAAGGAACATTTTTAACCTGAACAATGACTCCTTGTTAAAAGATAAACATATCAGTACAAATGATGTATACGGGGATGATCATTCGGATGATAGCTCCTTGGACAATGAGCAGGACACGTGGTCAGGAGGGGAATGCCGAAAATATAAGGGGAAGAATGACACGATGGTGAATGACTTTGTTCAGGACAAAATTGAAAAAAAAAAATTATGGAAAATTAAAAAGTACGAAATTAAGGAAAAGTTACGGGAAATTGATAAACATTTTGATGTCATTAAAAAGAGAGTCCTTTCTTTGCCTGGAACAACGGGCGGCGTGAAACAAGATGAAGACCTCCAAAGGGGGGTGGCCCAGACGTTGACAAAGGTGTCCAGTTGTAACGGGAAAATGAAGAAGTTAAAAATGTGGGTGGATGAAGAAGAGGAACATCAACGGAACAAATTCATGAACGCAAATAAGCGCATGAAGAAAGGAACTTCGAGGGGTGAAAAGGGAGCAGACGGGAACAGGAGGGTCCAAATGAACATGGAGGTAGAGGATGAGTCAGAGGAGGAAGTAGAAGACGAGTCGGAGGAGGAAGTAGAAGATGAATCAGAGGAGGAAGAAGAGGATGAATCAGAGGAAGCTGATGGGTGGGATGTGCAAGACGAGTCGGAGGTGGAGGATGGACTGGTCATAGAACCCTGGTGGGAAGCAGAAGATGAATCGGAGAAGGATGAGCAGCACGGATCGGTTCAGCTCAAGGAGGATGAGTCGAAGTCGCAGTTGATTGGTCATAAAAGTAATGAGAGAGACGAACAAGTGAAAGAATCAAAGTTGTTCTCGTCCAAAAAAAAAACAAAAACAGAAGAGTCGGATAATAACAAGGCATACTCAATGTGGTGCCTGTCAGACGATAGTGACAATGAAACTATTAACAAACTGTTTAGTAAAAAAAAAAGACTTCCTTTTAATGACGAAACGATGTTGAGCATATCGAAAGAAAGAATGAACAAAATGTTGGGGAAGTTCGTACAGGATGGTAACAAAGAATTGTGTAGCTATTTTGCAAACGAATCAGGTGATGAAAAAGAGGAAAAATTACCAACCTATATTTCTATAGAAAAAAAACAATACCAGTTGGAGCATGTAATTGCACTTTTGGATGGTCATAATTTTAGTACCCAGAAAAAACTCTTATATAGGGTGTATCATTTAAATATGTTTAATAAAAAAAAATCGAAGAGTATTCCTCATTCTTCTTTCTTTTTCTCGCTAATGGATTATTGTATCTTAAAAATATACCTATGTTTAAAATTTGATTTAAGCGTACAAGACTTGATAGCAAATTACAAGGACATAATTGTGAACTTTTGCCATCCCATGAAAACGGAGTTGTATCTCTACATGTCTTTTCTCCTTTTGATCGTTTTCTGCAAAACGCACGGAAGGGGAAAAGCCAATTTATTTTACAAGAAGAAAAGAAACACCTTAGCGGAGTACGTAGAGTCCAATAAATGTGCACACGGCAAGGCGTATGATGTGCACATATACTCCAGGATTTTGAAGAGTGCCGATTTGTTCAGTGACATTTTCGAAAAGTACAACCCCCAATTGGGGGAGCAAGACGCAGAAGCAGATAGGGATGGATCTGCCGATGCGGGAACCATAACATACGTCCACTTTGCAGTAATCCTTTTGGCGCTAATTATATACCCCATCGAGGGGAACGACAGTAAGCTGCAAAGTCAAACAGGAAATGGGAGGTCCCATTTCGAGAAACACGGAGATGATGCTGTAGGAGAAATCATCCCCAGTGAGCACCTCATAACGGACATTAACAAAAATAGGGTGGAGGACGAAAAAATGGTTCATAAGTTTGCACATTTGCAAGGGCAGAACCTCTTGACCGACAAGGAAGAAAGAATTCCTCTAATGGGTTACCTAATCGAATTGGTGGAGTATATATTTTATAAGTACTTTCATTCGGTCAATGCTAATTTGCCCCTTGGTGAGAATGATGCGGGTTACCACGACATCTGTAGCAGCGGCACGTATACCACTGCAAGTCGCATGGAGGAGTGCATACAGAATGTCGAGCGGGCATTCTGCCTTAAGCGATTTGACATAGACGAGGTAGTTAAAGGAAAAGGGCTCAACCGAGCAGTCACACAGAGCAACAGCAGAACCGATGTGCAGAGCGACCTCGGGATCTTTTCCAAAAAGAAGCAACTAAAAAAAGCAGTCATTTTGTTGAATATTTATAATATATTTCTAGAGAACAGCAAAAAATACAGCCAGAGTTTCTTTTACCTCTCCTTCAAAATTTTAAACACCCTTTTGTACGGCATTATGCATGAGGGGGGGACATCACAGATGGAAAGAGGCAGTAACGGTGAAAGGAATTACAGCGATGAGAAGATTCTCATGGAAGAGGAGGATATATATTACAAACTCTCTTTTAATACTTTCAAAAATGTAATTCTTTTTTTAAAGGCCCACCTGGACAAACAGTTTAACGCCTACATATTGATCAATCACATAGTGCGCCCCTGTCTGCTGTTCTTATGTATTAACTTTTTAAGTTATATAAATAAATATGGTGTGGAAATGGACTTTTCCAAAATGGTGGACGATTTTGGAGGCCTCCAAGTGAGGGATGATTACTTGGTTGCTGAGGACAGTCCCTTCGTGAAGTATCAAAGGAAGGAGGAAAAGTATTTCCTCTTTCTTTTGTACACATATAAGTTAATGGAGTATTCCAGTACATATGGGATCACTCCTATAGTTTCTCACAATTTGCAACACAGTGGCATTCAGATGTTTACACCGAAATATGCCAATAGCAAAAACCCCAAGGACTTTTTCATTATGCAGAGCGGGCAAGCGAAGTTTGCAGAGATGAGGGCCGCACGTAAGAAGATGAAGCAGCAGAAGAAACTGGACTACAACGAGGTAATGGCAGAGCAGCTATCGGCTTGTTTTGCGACGTGTTCGGCGTTGTGTTTAAAGTTGTGCTTATCGTTATGTTTAACGTTGTGGTTGGAGGCGCATGTGGACGTACTCTTAGCCACATTGAGGTCTTATTCGCCTCGCCCCCCTCTGCTTCCCACATGCATGTGTCTTTAAATATATTTATTCCCCTCTTTTCCCACTTTGCAGCTAAGGAAGGAAAACAACTACCTTCTAGGCCTGAAAGCCAGGGAGGAACAGGAGAGGGTGCGTCGGAACCAGGAAAAGTACAAGAAAGTAAAACTCATGGCCAAGAAGGACGTCGAGGAGTACCACAAGATGAAGACGTACACCCACTGAGGTGAGACACCTCGGGAGGGGCAAGCGCTCCGCCAATTTGTTTCACGATATTTGTTAATATGTGCGTGTCCCACGTGCTGCAACTTTTTAGTGATGTTTTTTTTTTTCCACCCCCGCAACTGCGCCACCACGCATTTGTTTTATGGTCAATTAGGCAAAATTGAATTTTTTTTTTTTTTTTCCGTTTTAAAAACCGTTGACATGTAAATATAATATGCTTTTGGAGGGGAAAACACATAAACGGTTTCTCATCCTACACATCACCACGCATTTTTTACGCACACTTTTAATTCGGCTAAAAATGAACAGAGGGATCGACACATTTCACATGGCGAATAAATGGAGTAGGCGCCACAATGCAGGTAGATACAACGGAATGGTTCTCTACTTTTTTTTTTTCGTTATAAATGGCGATTATATTGACATGCGTACAGGGGGAAGCACGCAAGGGTGGAGTGAAGTCATGTGATAATTGAAGCGTCTGCGTGGTCAGGCGGGGGTGAATTACGGGTTGAGCATTATTCACACTTGTGTGGCTGCTCCTAACCGCCGCTGTCGTGCCTTCCCCGCAGAGGACATATCCCAAGTCCGACATCACTTCTTCTTCGGCGACTCATAATTAAAGTCTTCGTTCATCATGTTTCGAATGTCCTTTATTTTGAGTCCACACCACTCGTATTTATTTATATATGCCGTGGTGTAATTTTTTTCATTCTGTTTGTTTTGTATGGATATGTGTTCATACAGGTTACTTATGCTGGTTTTTGTTTTCACAATGCTAGAAATATTTTCGCTTATGTCTTCATTAAAGGTGTTTGGGATTAAGTCTCTCCATCCGTTCCGTTCTAGCAACCCCAGTTTTTCGCGTTCCTCCCGTTTCGGCATCATATAGTACATGTACAGTTCGCTACATCCTGCGGGGTGGAAGGAATATAAAAAAAAAAAAAAAAGAACATAAATGGAAGGTAAAAATAAAAAAGTTCACATGCGCGGTAAGATGTCTATGCAGCAACTTCATTCAGTTTCGTGTGTTTATGTAGCGTCCCTTTTTTTTTTTTTCCCCGTACCGATAATTCGCTCGTAAGAATCTTCCGCATCTGAGGACACATCATTCACAGATGTGCATGGGCACGCGTTGGACACCTCGGTATTCTTCCCGATATTTTCCTTTTGAATATTTTTTAAATTCAGATCGTAATGCACAGAATAGCAGTCCGTGTCGTAGTGCATATTTAAGCACATGTACTTGTAGGAGCAGAGGAGAAGGTAGCACTGCCTGGGAAAAATATCAATGTCGCTGAAGATGATGTGTATAAACTTATCTACCTTGTTCTCTCCTGATTTGTTTTTTTCGTCTGGATCCTTATCTTGTGTATGTTCTGCAGAGGGGAAATCTTCCTCATGTGGGGGCTCCTCCGCCCAGGTTGGGTAACTGTAGTATCTGTTCCCTTCTTCATTCTTCTTCTCCCCGTCAACAGTTTGTCTATCGAAGTTTTTTAAAAGCTCAGCACAGTCTTTACTGAAATTTAGAAAGTACATTGCAGGGTACTGTTGCATGACGAAATTGTTAAAAAAGGAATCTTCCTCATTTGTGCTATTATTATCCATCCATTTTTCTGTTTTTTCCTTCTTCATAGTTTTGTCCTTATATGGGTTACTTTCATTAAGTTGGTGTAGTCTATCGTAAAAGCTTTTCTTCTTTTTCGATTGGGTCATTTCCTGGAGAGTCCCATATGCCGTGTTCTCTTCCTTAAGACGGGAAGAATCCATTACATGGTTGGGAAAATTTTCCTTCTGTGAGGGTGCCTTATAATTTAGGAATGCCTCTAAAATGACTCTGGGCAAAAATGCGCTTAAAATGTAATAAGTCGATTTTGCATTCAAAAATGGATGAACCCATATGCATTTTATGTTAATCTCAGACCTACCTAAATACTCAATTAGACAACCGCAAACGATTTTCTTAACATGAATTGCATTTCCATCTACAGTTGTTTCGGAGGAGGTCGTATTTAACGTAATTATGATTCCTGAAAAGTGGTCTAACAAAATATCATCATAAGCTTTCGGTACATTTTTCGTTAAATCTTTATCCAGTTCTAGTAGTTGAAATGGGAGGTTCCTATTTCTTACGTCGTTTTTTTTATTTACTGAATTTTGTACATAACTCCAATTCATTAACATTTTTTCATGTAAAATTTGTCGACGCCTGTACATGTTGGTGTACTTAAAAAGGTTTTCACTACTGCTAAGAAGCACATCGATTTTTTTTTCTTTTATTTTTATTAGTTTTATTGTTTCCTTCATTTTTTCAAATTTCGTTTCTTCGTCTTTTATTTCCTTGTGTTGCTCGTAGTCCATTTCTTCGCTGCAATCCTGGGTTAGGTCTTGCATGAGGCTTTTGATGAATTCTTCCTTGGTTACTTTTGCTTCTTGGGCTTCTCCCACTTGTGGCGCAGCCTCCACGGGGGTTCCTTCACCCAACTGGCTTCTGTCACCTAAGTGGCTTTCTTCATACAAATGGCTTCCTTCACCCAAGTGATTTGTGTCTCCCGGCTGCTGCTCTTTACATATCTGTATGGCCCCTCCTCCGGCGCAGTCCCCCAGATTCACCTTCTCCAAAAGGGTCAAGAAATTTCTGTGCTCCCTCTCTACGAACTCCTTATCGTCATCACTCAGGTAGTTCAAGTTGTCGTAGGAGGTGACCCCCTTTTCGAGTTTCTTCTCCTGTCCTTGTCTTTTTTTCCTTCCCTGCATATGGTTGTTACCTTTTTTCACTTCCTCCTCATTAATTCCGTCCTGCACATGATTTGCCGTTTCTTTGGCGGAAGAACGATTCTTATCTTCTTGCACAAACTCAACATCGTGTTGATCATTCACCGTTTCGCAGTTCTTAACGGGGGGTTTATTTTCCATTGTTGGTGGTACGGGCTTCACTTCCTCCGTCTTGGAAGTCCCAGTGGGTTGATTCACATTATTAGACTCATCACGCGCGACACCATTATTATTATTATCATCATCGTGTGGTGGGTACTTCCCTGTGGTGGCCTCATTTTCCTGTTTTTCTGAACTGAGTTTACCCACCGATGATCCTTCCACCGTGTTTTGCAATTGACCTCCCTGTGGATGCGTCCCCTTTTCGTTTTTTTCTTCCCTGCTGGAATGATTGTTCCTCTGTCTCAACTCATTTTTATAATCATTAATTATGCAACCAATTTTTCTTTTTCTTTCCACCAATAATTTTAAATCATTGGAGATACCCATCGGTAGGTATTCGACTTTAAGGTTCAAATCGTACATGTTGAAAAATTCATTTGTTTCGTTTATTAGGTTTTTGCTTTGGTTCATTGCAAACTGGGGAAACTTTATCTTTAAATGTTCTGCCTCCTCCGTTTGGCTTATGTCGCAAGGGAGTTCGCTTGGAGTTGCACACTCAGATTCGGTGGTGCTCTTGTCAGTCCCGCAGAGGGGTGCCTGCTCCTCGGGTTGGCTCTCCCCCATTGACTTGGTGTCCTTCTTGCTGGGGCTAAACGAGCGGTTGAACGAGCAGCTATGAGAGCTTCCTGCAGGGCCGCTTCCCACGCTGCTACTTCGGCTGGGGGTTGGACTGTTCGTTTTGGCCGACCACAAACTATCAGGACTGCCATTGCATTGGGGAGGCTCATCCTTTTGCAGTTTCGCCTCATTGGTGGGGGAATTTCCCTGTTTACCTTCCTCACCTGGTTCTCCATCTTTATGTAACGTTTCTTGGGTTACAATTTTACCTTCGGCATTGCTTATAGGGGCGTTATCATTAGGGTTATATTCATCGACCTCTTTCGTAGACTCTGGCTCATCGTCCAAGTTTTTTTCCTTTTTTTCTTCTTCTATGGCACTTCCTTCATGGGAATTGTTAATATGGTTTACCTGGCAGGGTGTATTGCCACTAGCGTCGGGGGTGCCTAACTGTTTGTCTTTCTTCTTACTTTCCTCAATGAGGCTTTTAAACATTTCATCAATTCTGTTAACCCTTTTCTCCCCTCCAGAATCTTTAGCAAAAGGTGAATTCTCGCTTTGGTTAGAATTATTTGTGTTAAATATGGCACTATTGTTTTTTTGTTTTTTCGTTTCATTTTTTTTATCGGTCATGCTTTTTAAAAAGGCTTGATCATTTTGTTCTTCTTTCTGGCTGTTCTTTTTCTTTTCGGTTGTTTTCCTGTCGTCTTTTTTTTTTTTTTTTTCTTCTTCTTCTTCTTCTTCCTCCTGCTGCTGTTCCTTGTCCTTTGTGCATGTGTTTGTCTTGGGGACTAAATTGGTATTTTTTCCCTCTTTAGGGTTATTGTCCGTTTTGGTCTGGTCTGGCGTAGGGTTGTGTAGCGTCTGTTCGAGTCCACCTGCACTTTTTGTGTTGCTCTTAATAAGGCGTGTCTCCTGCGCATTGGCTTTGCTGTCACTTTCTTTCTTCTTCGTTGACAATAAACTACAAATGCTAGGGGTATTCAACGTAGCCCTACTTGCAATGGTAGCAGAAGTAGCCTTGGGTGAAACTTCATCTTCCTTCTTTTTCACGTCTTTCCCACTGGAACAATTACCCTCATTGTTTTTTTTTATATTGATAAAATCGTCAATGAGGTAGACATTGTCCTTGTTGTGCAATTTCATTAACTTTGGTTTTTTAATTACACTATGATTATTATCTCTTGTTTCTGTGGACGTGCTTTCCTTTTTGTTAGTATCGGAGGATGCGTCATTGTTGAGTTTTCTCTTTGGTTCCTTTCTTGGGTCCTTTTCTGTATCCAGTTTGGAAGAGGCGTTTTTGTTTTTGTCATCTGTTCCCACCTCATCAGATTTAATCTTTTTCGTTTCTTCATGCGCGGTGGCTCCCTCCTCCTGTTTGGTTCTCTTCAAAATTGCAAAGACATTTTGTACTTTTTTCGTGAAAAACTTTTCCATGGTTGGGTTCGCCGCTTCCCACTTGCTACGTGCTGCACTGCTATTTGGTTGCGACGCCTCGTCGTGTTAGCTTCGCCACTGTGTAGCTTCCTAACCGTTTAGCTTGCTCTTGTTTACGAAGATAGTGTATTTTTTTTTTTTTTTTTTTTTATTGTTTTATTTTTTACATTTCTGCCAGGGCTTCACGTTGGCGATGCACCTGCCTAGAGGAAAAAGGGGCTAGCTATCTCAACAGGGTGGAGTAACGCAGGCTTGCATTACATTTTCGGGGTGCATATTTTAACTCGGTAGGAGTTTTTGAGAAGCGTTATAATTTTATCAGAATGTTTTTAAAAGCGCTTTCTTTTATTTTGTCGACTTGGCCTATTCAAATGGAAGTTCCATTGGCGGGGTGCTAGTCCGTATGCATCTCGTACAAGTCTGCACGTGCACGAGAACGAGTGCGTAAGGATACGTTCACACAAGCCGGTATCGCTGCCTGAACACTAGCCCAAAGAGTGGCACGGAGGGGGGAAGCTTCAATTTTCATGCGCCATGAGCATTCGTCATATGTGCTTACATGGCTAAGTATACACATGTGACATGTCCATGATGAGAAGCGGGAAATTTGTAAATGAAGCCCAAAAAAAAAAAAAATATATATATATATATATAGTTACACCATGTGAGTATCACCACCCAAATGACACAATAAAAGCACAAAAATGGTTATGCGATTATTTCAGTTCATTTGAGGGCTCATGTATAACACCCTATTAGCAAGTGCAATAAAATGAGAAAACGTGTTAAGTGTACACGTAAGCTCTAAGCTCAAACATCTTCACAAGAACAGGCGCATGTATGTCCGTGTGTGCATGAACCACCCAGGCACACAGGTGCCATTTTTTTTTTTTTTTTTCATGACACACCAAATTGAACAGCTATAATTGAGTGCAAGCATTTTTTGCAAGTGCTTTAAATCCCCTTTATCAAGAAGGGTTAAGGGAGGGAAAGGAAAAGCTAACGCCAAACGGGTTCGTTCAGAACTTCGTCAAGCAACAGTCGCTTGTCGAGGAGCCTAGTCAGCAGGAACGCTCACCAAGTGAGTATTCGTCAGGTAAACTGTCTCCAGGTGATCATTATCCAGGTACATGTTCTTCCATTGACCATTCGCTAAGGACAAACCAATCCGCGAACACATGCGCAGGGCCGTTATGGCCACCCTTTCCACCTCAAGGGTGTGTTGCTTCACGCAGGCATTTGCCATTTCTTTTTGTGTATATGTTCGAAGGGATATGAAATTGCGTTAAAGCAACACCCAGGGGCGGGTAAGATAAATTTAGCATTTTTTAAAAAATCTCCTAATGTTTTAAATTCACCAAGAGGGAAAACATGGAAATGTAAAAAAAAAAAAAAAAAAAAAATTACATGTGCATACGATTATTGTGTGTATTTCTGTATATGTAATTCGAAGAATAGATGTCGCATCTTGGGGCTTTAACCAGCAGAGGGGGAAAGACGTTACACGAAATTGTATGAAATTATACAAACTTGTGCACACTTATATCTGATGCTCTTTCTCTTTTTATTTTATTGTTTCCCGTTTTTTTGCTTATGCAAAATCGGAGTTATAAAAATCAGCAGGGCGAATTGCAAAGTGTGGAAAAAAAAAAAAAATAACATCACATATGTATAAAAGTTACATATAATCTTTTGCAACATGTAGGTGAGTGTTTTAATACTCCCTTATAGAGCGCATTCTTTTTTTCTTTTTCTTTTTTTTGTTACCTTTCTTTTGCTGATAAAATTGGTGAGCAATATTATTACCCTCACCCCGTTTTTTACGGACCAGTTAATTCGCATCTTATGGAGGAGAAACAGTTGTCATGTGCTGAGCAGCTTTTGTTTTAATCCCATTTTGAAGGATTGTGGCTTCTATATAAGGGTGAAGTGACAACAGGGTTGAAATGTTCCCCAGGTACCTCTAAAGAAGGTTGGTCACGAAGTTGGAGTACACACGTACACACGCACGTATTTGGTGTGATGCATGGGAGTTCCTTAATTTAAAAGATTTCCTTCACAGCTGTGCGCAGCTACTCAGTTTGCAGTTCACATGAGGGTAACTTACCCACCACAGACAGTTCTTTTATTTGGGAAAAAACTCCTTGGCTTAACATAAGAATGGTTGCATGGTGACGTAATAGAACTGCATATCTACGTAGGTTTCTTAAGACAGTGTTACACGTTTAAGAAGTGCGACATATTTACTACGCACAAGGAATGCATTTTTCCCCCGTTTGTCAAATTATTCCTACGCACATGTGTGTATGCCATTTTGAATTAAGCTATTTTTGTACCTAATATTGGAAGCTGCTTACACACGGGGGAAATTACAAAACGCACGTCAAAAATGGGCAACCTGTTTTTTGGAAGTACGGCGGGGTAAATGGCCCTTAAGCGTTCCAGTCTGAATCGGTTATGACGTCCTACGTGAGTTGACACGCGGGGTGTCAACATTATACGAACGCGCTGATGCAAAAATGATTCGCGGATTGACGGGGTGACCGATTAGACGGAGGGCAACAAAAATGTGTCCTACATTATTGGGCACAAATAAATGCCCTTAAAATTGTTGCGAAAGAAAAAGGCAAAGCAAATCCTACCGGTTAAAGCAACTTGCTGTGCTTGCTAAGTCCAGTTGAAGGATCCCCAAAAGTGACATGTACCCACGTCGTGACTTTGGAACATGGCAAGCACACACAACAATGTATATTTGTGCGTAGATTTTACACCCACCCCTGTTCCGCCTTATTAGATCAAACGTGTGGCATAGTTGTGACACCAATATTTATTTTTTCCCTTCTTTTTCCGTTTTGTGAATAGCAAAAGTGTGCATTATTAACATTAATAAAAAAATAAACTCCAAAAAATGCAAAAGTGTAAAAAAAAAAAATTTACTCACAAAAATGCCATGCAAAGTATGAATGAGGGCGGTGAGGGAGAAAGAAAAGCGCGCTCAAAGGACCACCACATATGCGTAAAATGAACACATACGTTCATGCATATGTGCGTACTTACATGCCGAGTACACACATTTTCCAATTCGCGGAGCACAACATTGGGCATGGTTATGTTAAAAGAATATGAGTGGAAGAATTTTTCTGTTGTGCGGGAATGCGCGCTGGAGAAGGAAGCAAAAAGGAAAAGGGTGGACTAATTGGGGTTAGAAAATGCCTAAGGAGTTGTACACACACGTGAGGGAGTCATAGACCAGCCTAGCCGCTATACGTTCGCTCATTTATCCCACAAGCACAAATGTAACATGAGGATCCCTAGACGGGATGGGGAACCTTCCAAAATGCGGAAACAGCTGAGTTACAAGAAAAGCGCGAGATGTGTACAATGGATACACAAATTTGTGGAGTGGTATAGAATGGAGAAAGTGGTCGGACCGATCTGGGTGTCCACATACTACTCAATCATAGTGTTTTTACTTTTTCTATTCCTCTTCAACCTGCTCGTTGGTATAGCCATCCTTATAATGAGCTCAAAGTACATCGAATGCAGAATCCCTTATGAGTACAAAAGTCAAGCGTATACAAAATATTCAATCGTTAAAGTAACACCTGAACACTGCAAGGGAAATGAAAATATAAAACAACTAAAAGGACCAATAAACATCCATTATGAGATTTCTGGAGTGGAACAAAATCACTATAATTTTTTGACCAGTTTTAAAAAAGAACAATTACATGGAGATATATTTTTACAAGAAAAAGAACTTAATGAATGTTTCCCTTTAATTACATATGTGCAAAATGGCATAAGCAAAATACTACACCCATGTGGCATATTACACTGGAATGTTTTTACAGACAGCTACATTTTTTATGATAAGGAACCGGATGAATCTCCATTCCCAACCCCTTTGCCTTTGAAACAAAAGGCTGAAGATATCACCATCAAATATTATCGCAAGTTTTTTAAAAACCCTACTCGTGACATTATTAATTTGTACAAAAAAAAAATATACTTTTGGATGGATGAAGAAATTCAATTACAGATATTACAGGAACATGCTGAAACGAATGACAAGCTCGTTGTCTTGCCGCAAACTTTAAAATATAAAAAAGCTGGACATGCACTTGAGAATAGCCACTTTATGAATTGGGTTATTCCTTCTGCTTTTAATTATGTGAAACGATTGTATGGCAAACTGGATGGCCCCTTAGTTTTTCCCTTTTACATTTATATCGAAAATAATTTTAAAATCAGCGACACGAAAATTATTGTCATTTCCAATGCCAATTTTTACCTTAACACGACTTTGATAGGAATATTTTTTATCATCATGGCTGCTTTCGCACTCCTCCTGTCTTTGTTGTACTTTATCCGGATGAAGAGGAACCAGTTTATGTAGGCCCACGCGCCGAAAGCACGGCCTGCTCCTTCATATTCCACGCCTAAACACAGGGCGCAGTTTGTTTGTCCCATTTTTTCATTTCACCATTTTGGCTCTGCGCGACTTCCCAAACACCCCATTCTCATAAGACAGGATATCAATTTTTCCTTTTTTGTCCTCTTTGAAGCTTGCGGGAGTGAATATACACACACACATATATATATGTATTTTTAGTACCGGCGTCATAATATAGACGTGTCGGCATCCAAATTGTGCAATTTTTTTTTTTTCGATGTCCTTCCCTGTGAGGAAGAGTAGGTATACAGAAAAAGTTCAAATGTATTGCATCATTTTTTTTTGCTTACATTGTTGTAACCCTCCATTCGTAATCGGGAGGTGACTGTCACCACAGTAGTGTGTCACCTCTTCTGCACGTACAATGAGTTCAATTTTTGCTTCCCCACGCAGTTGAAATATTAGCACACTCATATTATATGTATAACTGATCACTTTGGATGGGGAAGACGAATGAGGGATTGTCTCCCATTTTCAAATGCACGCGCGAAAGGGGAGCAGATGAAGAGAACCACTTAGGAAGCACACTTAACCGTTATCCTTTCTTTTATTTCCCCCCCCGCCTTTTACCGCTTATGCGGATTTTATTTTTTGTTACTCCGCAATTCTTCCTTTTCTGAACGTGTAAGTTCAAAACAAATGCGTCTCTACACAGCATTACTTGTTGCACTTTCTGCAAGCTGTTGATTGGTTAGGGAGGTTACGGGAAAGGGAAAATAAAAAATGAAAGTCCATTCTGTTGGAAAATGCTTTCTTAAAATGTTTAGGAACTGTTTTTTCGGCTTTTGTCAACTGTTTACTTTTTTTTTAAAAAGAGAGAGAGCAGTGTTGAGCAACAAAAAAAAAGATTTAGTAACAAGGAGGTTTATCTTGGCTTGAATTTTTTTTATTTTTTTTTTATTTCTTTTCCATTTTCCCTCCGCTGCTATTCTCCCCTTTCGCATGTAGAATTTGTGAACATTAAAAATCTACAACATGTATACAATTTACAAAATGCTCGAGAACAAGATTTTCAATTTTTTCCTGATTTCTCTCAGTGCGAAGGAGAAAAAATCTATCGAAAAAAAAAAAAAAAAAAAAAAAAAAAGAAAAGGTGTGTGTGAGAATTATGCTCACCTTTATGTAAACTCACAAGGTGAAGCATTTTCACATTTGACGTGGCCTGGGACATGTGAATGTGTGTACATATGAGTTAAACATAAGTGCCCATTCGTACGAAAGTTTCTATACACGTATATATGCGTGTAACTGAGCCTTTTGTTCTCCCATCCTCGCATGCAGTCTAGCTTGCATTGTGTTTTGTATACCCTTTATTTGGAAAAGGTGTAAAATTTAAACGCAGTTAATGTGTCCCCAGGTAGGCAGGATTACACATTCGAGGCAATCTGCAGTTTGAAGCTGCATGTTGCAAGTCGCATTTTTCCACTAAGCAAAAGTTACACGTGTAAAACATGCAATATATTTGAGCACCGCGGTTGTGGTAGAGGAGATGAGCGAAAAAAAAAAAAAAAACTCACAAAAAATGGTATAAAAAAAAAGAGTTGCGACTTTTTAAAATGGGTGATTTTGCGAAATAAGCAAAAAAGTGAATTCAAGTTTTGTACTTATATTTGCTTCTAACTAAAGGCGCACATTCAATGATTTTTGGCTTTTTTTACAATTGTGCCTTTTGGGATTTTTTCCATTATTTTGGCTTTTCTTGTTTTTTTTTTTCTGTTGATTTAATCGCCGTCGTAGCACATGCAAAAGTTGTAAAATAAAAGCAGAACGATTTCTCTTTTTTTTTTTTTTTTTTTTCCATTTATGGCGTGAATTTTTTTTGTTCCCCCTCTTTTTGAGTATACTATTTATGCACACATTTTACACAATTATTATTGTTACTTGGTTTTTTTTTTTTTTTTTTTTTGCTTTTTCTTTTGCTTCAACTTTTTTTAAGTGTAGAACGCTTTTAAGACGCTAAAAGAGGAGTTACAAGGAAAAACTTGTTTTACAACGGAAAAATCTGCTTCATTTTTTGCTCTTTTTTGTTCGCGCTTTTTGTTCGTGTTCTTCCCGCGTTTTGCTCTTGTTTTGATCGCATTTTTGTTTGCATTTTTTCTCTCGTTTTCTTTCGCTTTTTTTTATTCGCTTTTTTTCCTATTCGCTCTTTTCTTATTCGCCTTTTTTCCTATTCGCTCTTTTCTTATTCGCTTTTTTTGCTTTCCCCCCGTGTTTTTGCCCGCTGGCTTCCCCTTTGTGGGAGAGTCTCTAATTTAATGCAACCAAAGAGAGGCCAAAACAACGGACCTCTTCTTAATGCACAATAAGAAACAAGAGAAGGGAACATTGTTGCCCTTTTCACCGGTGGCAGTTTTAGTGACGCCATGTAGAAAATTATCTACAGAGGTGCAATTTTCAACTAAATAATTTACGCAAATGTGTATGTAAAAAAAAAAAAAAAAAAAAAAAAAAAGTTAAGCAAATTGAATCTCTCACACGCTGTTAATTTTGCCGAATTTGCTTAATTGCTTAATTTGCTTAATTGTTGAATTTGCTGAATTTGCTGCATTTGCTGAATTTGCAAAATTTGTCACACTCCCCAATTTTCCAATTATTGTCATTTTTTTCCAAAATCTTAATTTTATTTGCTACATTTTTTTCGCTTTTGTACGTTCCTTTTCTACACCCGGATGCCTCCTAGAGCAAATAGGAGTTTCAACCGTTTACATGTAATTTACCAAGCGTTTGTAATTTTGCAACTTTGCAATTTTTCTACTGCGCAAGTTTGTAACCGTGAAGCTGCTCACCTGTGTGACGGCCAATTTTTACCAACGGTTAAACCTGTTAGTGGCTATTTTTTTCTCGCCCCCCTCCTGATTGATGTGCAGAGGGAGAGAACCAAATAGCTGCCTTTTTCTTGAGTCACAATTTAACAACACAATATGAATAAAATATACTGCATACTGTTTTTAAGTGCCCAGTGCCTTGTGCACATGGGTAAGTGCGAGCCAAACCAGAAGCCGAGCAGGCTGACCCGCAGCGCTAAAAACGTTTTGTTGGAACAGAAGCCTATGGTTGAGAGAAGTACACGAATGAGTAACCCATGGAAAGCATTCATGGAAAAGTACGATATCGAAAAAACACACAGTTCTGGTATTCGAGTAGATTTAGGGGAAGATGCAGAAGTGGGAAATTCCAGCTATAGAATACCAGCAGGAAAATGTCCTGTTTTTGGAAAGGGTATCGTTATACAGAATTCTAAGGTTAGTTTCTTAACACCTGTAGCTACAGGCAATCAAAAGTTGAAGGATGGAGGTTTCGCCTTTCCACAGGCAAATGATCATATTTCCCCTATATCCATAGAAAACCTTAGAGAAAGGTATAAAGAGAATCCAGATTTGATGAAGCTAAACGATTTAGCTTTGTGTAAAACTCATGCAGCCAGCTTTGTAATGGAAATGGATAAAAATTCGTCCTATAGACACCCAGCTGTATATGATGAAGATAAAAAAATATGTTACATGTTGTATTTATCAGCGCAAGAAAATATGGGTCCAAGATACTGTAGTAAAGATGCAGAAAATAAAGATGCTATGTTTTGCTTCAAGCCAGATAAAAATACAACATTTGACCATCTTGCCTATTTAAGCAAAAATGTGGTTAATGATTGGCAAAACAAATGCCCCCGTAAAAATTTAGGAAATTCTAAATTTGGATTATGGGTGGATGGAAACTGTGAAGAAATCCCATACGTTCAAGACGTGCCGGCAAAGGATCTACGCGAATGTAACAGAATCGTTTTCGAAGCTAGCGCTTCAGATCAACCAACTCAGTACGAAGAAGAACTAACCGATTATCAAAAAATACAAGAAGGCTTTAGACAAAACGATCAGGGTATGATTAAAAGTGCTTTTCTTCCAGTAGGTGCATTCAACTCGGACAATTTTAAGAGTAAAGGAAGAGGATATAACTGGGCAAATTTCGATACTGAAAATCAGGTTTGTTACCTTTTTAATGCCAAACCCACTTGCCTCATTAATGACAAAAACTTTATCGCAACAACAGCGTTATCTCATCCCCAAGAAGTAGACTATGAGTTTCCATGCAGCATATACAAAGATGAAATGGAAAGGGAAATGAGGAAAGAATCGAGGAACATGAGTCTGTACAATGTTGATAAGGCACGGATTGTTCTGCCAAGGATATTTATCTCCAACGATAAGGACAGTCTCAAATGTCCATGCGCACCAGAACACATTACCAACAGTACCTGCAACTTTTACGTTTGTAACTGTGTAGAGAAAAGGGCAGAAATTAAAGAAAATAACGAAGTGGCCATAAAGGAAGAATTTAAGGAAGATTACCAATACGCGGAAGGTGAATCCAAAAATCAGATGCTCCTAATTATTATCGGAATAACTGGAGGTGTGTGTGTGGTCGCACTGGCTTCCATGTTTTACTTCAGGAAGAAAGCTCACAATGATAAGTATGACAAGATGGAGCAGGCAGACGGGTACGGGAAACCCACCACCAGGAAAGACGAGATGCTCGACCCCGAGGCGTCCTTCTGGGGTGAAGAAAAGCGGGCCTCCCACACCACCCCTGTGCTGATGGAGAAGCCTTACTACTGAGCGGGGAAGCAACCGAATTGGTGAGGGCCTCGTTGGTCGTAAACAAAGTGGGGGTGCCTCACAATGCATATTTTCAACCCGCGTCATGTAAAAAAGAAAAACGAGACACACCCAGCTGGCCAACAAATTGCCCACAAGGGAGGAGAAATGGAGCAAGCTAAAATTGGGCTAATTGTCATCATCACCAGTTACCGAGGAAATGAAAACAACAACAAAAAAAAACGTAACACATGGTGAAGTAACTGATTGGTTAAGCAAAGCCGAGTGAAAATTTACCCCACTTGCGATTTAAAAGCATGATTTGCCTCCACCAAATGGACCTCTCCACTATTAATATTACCGCAGAATATTTACCTAGCGAACTAACAGATACACCTTACACTCACTCATAACGTATCTTTGATGTTTTAACTTATTTTTTTTTTTTTCTTTTTTTTTGTGCCCTCTAATACATATACTGTCGCTGATGATTTAATTGAAGCAGACTTGACGCCTTCGTTGGGCGTACTTGTACTGGTCTGCCTTTGTAACCTCTTTTTGGTTACGCGCTCCGTGCGTGATTGTGGGGAAAAGTGGAAGAAGAAAATGATAGGCAGCCGACATTCCGTCGCTATGTGTATGTAGCGCTTCGTGGAGTTCACCTTCTGTGCGCTAAAGCAGCGTCGTCAGATAGAGGTTCCTGAGATTTTTGTCACGCGTATTTTTCTATGCGTGCTTTATATGCGAACGCCGCTTTTTTTCGCACTTTGGCTGTTTTTTTAAAATTGTTTTCCTTTAATTTTTATCCCCACTTTTGTCGAAAGAATGGCGTAACAACGCTTATTTTAATATAACCCATATGTTTGGATGTGTATATAATAAACGCGCATTCTCGTTGCGCCACCGAATAACTTTAATATTTTTTTCTGTTAACTTTTCTTTAATTAGAATCATGCGTAGGTGCACCGTGTTGTGTTACTCTACAGCACCACACCTTTCCCATCCTTTGCTTTTCCCAACCTGGTCCTTTCTCTCGCTGTGGAAAGTCCACTTTTTTTTGTTTTTTTTTTTTGAGGCCTCTGTGCAAGGTCCCCCAAAGTTGTTATTTGGCATGTGTACCATTTGTATGTGTGCCTCAATCTGTTAGCAGTGAGTGGTAGTATTACGCCTTTGTCGATTTGTTCACAGATTCATTCGCCCATCGGTCCATCGCTCACGGGCACATGACCCACCTGTGAGCATTTGCCCCTAAGCCTATCGAGCCTTCGCGAACAACATGTGAGCTATTTAAAAAATATATAATTATAAAAGACTATAGTTGTTAAAATGGTAATTTAGTGGAAAGAGTTCCGTGCGATTCCGTACCTTCTACAAAGCTGCTTGACACTGCACGATTAGGACGTCCAACCCCATTTGACACGTCTAACATGGTGTGTGCAAACAGAGGGCCATCTTTTGTGAGCGTGGGGAAATGCGCTTATGTCTTTGCAAAGTGAATGACATAAGATGAATTTCGAGTTCATCAAAAAAGTGAATAATAAATAAATAATAAAAAAAAAAAATAGCATATGTAACATCCCTGTCCCCCGTGGAAAGCAAAAAATGCGACACGCTCAGCAAAATAAAACAGCACGAAATGGACATTACCCACGAGGGTAATTTGAAGTTGTAGTTTGTGTTACCATCCCATTATGAGCGACAACTGGCGCAGTAGTACGAAACTAACACAGAAAATGTTTTTACACAGTCATGACTTCAAGTCTAACCAATCTCTACTTTCCCTTTACGCCATTTACAAAAGGGGAAAAAATATATACTAAGTATATGAGACAAGGACGAAGTGACCACACCCCTCTGTAACAGGCGAACGGAAAAAGATGCCTGCCAACTACAACGAAATAAGGAAACTGTTTAACTACTACATTAGGGAGTACTACTACCAGAAGTCCAAGGGGACCTACTTTGTTCATATTAAGAAGCCTGGGATTTTATTTACGTCCTTAAAATTTTACAAAAGGAAAAAAACCCTCTTTCCAAACGTGTATGACTGGTACTTCGACAATTTAAGTCATATAAAAAAAAATAAAGACATTTTAAAGTGCCAAAATAGCTACAATACAAAAAATATATACTCTTACAGAATAGGGAGGGAGCAGTGGGAAAAAAATGACGTGGAGAGTGACAGCATTTATACAAATGATTCGGAGGAAGATCTGCAATGTACCTATAGAACGAGCAACTTGTATTATAACATGCATCCTGTGTACTTGTCCAAACTGTGCCTGTACGACTTAAACGATCATCACATATTGTTTTCGAACAACTACTATGATGCCTTTATGCAATTTTACTACAGCATTGTTTCGTACAAAATGGATTTAAATGATTTGCAAATTTTCCCCAACTTGAAGATCCTAATAAGTCATATTAAAAACTTAAGTAGTATAATTAATGATGAACTGATTAAGAGTGCCTTTGTGTATTTTATTAGACAAAAAAAAAGGTTTGATGAGGAATACCTGCGCGGGGTATTTAGAAGTATCTACTCAACGATGCTGCACAACTGTCCCTTGTATTTGTTCCTGGATGATGTTAATCAGTTCAAGGTTGTTCTTAACCTTCTGGGTGCAACGGTAAGGCGGGAATGCGCCATAGGCTTATACGTCGCGTCTACTACCAAAGAGGGGAAACAAAGAAAAAAAAAAAAGAGTAACATTGGAAGGAGAGTCACAGTACATGGGCACACATGTGACTACACCCCTCTATACCCGCATGAAAAAAACCTTCATTGGTTTATCTCCTTCCCCTGTTTTTTTTCGATCCTCCTTCAGGGAGAAGTACAAAACCTGTTTGAGAGCGCCCTGCCGTACCCCTACTATTTAGTACTGGACGAAAGCGTAAACATTTATAACCTGCAGAGTTTTAATATTTATTTGAAAAAAGTTTTGGAGGCGAAATTGAAAGCGCCATTTTCTGTTGACCCAGCGGGGGGTATTTCACCCTCCGCTCAGGTCGGCCTGCACCCAAATGCTGGCAGTGTATGTAGCCATTCTGATAATTCTAACAACGGGGAAAGACCTAATGGAAGCAGTCATGCCAATAAGGATACAGTACAGAGCCAACCTTTCGCAAAATCGGAGGAAGAAAAATCACAGCGACTTGCAAATGTGCAGGGAAAACAAATTTACTTCTTTAAGTTGATAAAAATTTTTGACATGAAGCCGAATCATCGCTTTGTCCAAAAGGGTGCGAAATGATAGGCCATCGTTTCATATTTTTGTCTCTTGCAAAGTGGCGTGATATTTTAACCTCGCTGAACGCTGAGGACAGTGTTCCTATCTCACAGTTAGCACTGCGCTGGTCTTCGCTTATTTGTGTAAATGTTTTTTTTTTTTTTCAAACGGAGCTGACCTAATATATGTGTCCAATGGGCTGCTTCCCCTAATGCTGCGCGTGGAGATACCCCTCTAAGCGCTGCCTCTCCTTGGGGGTATACTGCTCCAGGAGTTTAAAGGTGTGCATGTGGATGTCCCTTTTTCTGTCGTTGCACACAATGTCGTAATTTGACAAGGAATTTAAAAAATAAAAAATTTGATATTTGTCCAGCAAGCACAGACTGCCATTCATTTTGTTAAAAATGTAACTGAAGAGCGATTTGTTATATTTTACAAAAGAGAGGATCTCAAATAATTGTAGCAAATGATTATTATTGAGTGTTTCTTTGTTCTGAAAAATGTAATTTATTAGCTGCTCTACCAATGCGTACATTTTTTCCTTCACCTTGTGCACACAATCCTTGTCCCCAAGTAATTTTCCCTCGTCTTCTGAAACTACGTGAATGTGAAACGCATTCAGTGTATTTAAAAATGATTTTCCTCTTAAGAAAAAAATGCACGAATTTAATAAAATGATTAAATTGTTCATATTTGTGTCCATTTTATTCTTCAAAAATGAGAGGGGAAGGGAGGAAAACATGTTCACTACGAAATGGTTAGACATGCTATACATATGGATTAGCAGACAGTAACTTGAAAAACTGATCCGTTCACTGTTGTACTTATTTTGCAAAATTTGCAGAAAGTGGTTTAAATAAGACTCATCCACGCTGTAACTTAGTAAAATTTTGTCCTTCATGTTAAGTATATATGTTTGCTTCCTTTTAGTATCTTCAAATGTGTGCAGACAGCTATTTTGCCCGTTGCCTATTTGGCGATTGTTCCTATTTGCATCCTCACTAAGGTAGTCTATAATGAAAGACACGTCGTAAACCTTTTCCAAAACGGGGTCTGCCTCTCCCTCGGGGGCCATATTTCCCCTGCCTTCCGCAGCAGCAACATACCCGTCAATCAGATGGAAGCCAACCTGGTCGACATTTATTGCTCTCTTAATTTTGTATAACCTTAGCCCATTGAGAAAATGTACCATGTAGGAATACCCAAATTTTAACTCGAACAAGTGGTGAAATATGCTGGATATTAAAAAGAGTGAAACCAGTTCGTGTCCCTTGTTCTCTTCCTGATTTATTTTGTTTAATACTTTGTAATTGTAAATGTATGAGCAGACATGTCTCAAAATATTGTCCAGGATGAAGTTGGAGTAACTATGTGCTAATTCGAAAAAGGTAAATTTTGTTCTTCCCTTTTTATCTTCCCCAATGGGCAGATCGCAAAGCCGGTCCATGCTTAACTCTCCTTTTTCGCTACCTCGAGTGCTTTTTTCCATGTTGCTGCTTTGGGACCCTTTAGACATTTTCACTTTCCTCTTATTCCTTCCATATATATTCTTGTGCACATTGCTAACGTCGCCAATCTCGCCAATCTGGGCAACCGCCCCACCTTCCGCTGTGGCCTCATTTTGTGAGTCGCCACTCCTGTTCGTCCCTTCCTTGCATTCGTACTCCTTGAACAAGTTGCCCCTTTCGACCCCAGTTTTGAGTAACAAATGATTGAAGAAAATTTTTTGTTTTAACGATTTTAAATCGTGTTTCCTTCTCACATTATTGCTTACTATGTTGTTTATAATTTTGTTCGGGTTAATATCATTTAGGGTATTAATGATTTGTATGTTTATGTTATCCAGGTCATCTTGCTTTATTTCTTTATGCCTGTTGAGCAGCTTTATTAGGTCTGGAATTTTCATACAATGTACCTTTATGTTTCTCTCATTCTGGGACAGGAAGTGGAGAGTCTTTGCTAGGCAAATCATTCAAGGGAGGAGGGGGGCGGAAATTCGAAGAGGTGGTGCTACTCGATCTGCGCGCTTTGCGAACTCTGCCAAACGTGTGTGTGTGTGTATGTGTAGACGAGTGAAGGACGTTAAAATGATACTGATGGACGCTGTGGGTAAAAAGTGACAGAGGTTCACAAACGGGGGAGAACAATATATCCCGTTTTTGTGTGGACCCTTTTTGTGAATAAATACCGCCCCCGAAAATGCACAATTTCGGAAAAAACAAAAAAAAAAAATGTATGAGTGGAACGACAGCGCTAGCTTCTCCAACATGTAGAAAATTTCAAAACACTGCAGGAGTTACAATTCGGCTTCTTATTCTGCAGTGGTCAAGAGGAGTAGAAGCATAGTTCGTCTTTCACATGTGCGATCAACATGGTGTTCGAATTGGGTCATATAGAAAGAGGGTTTATGGTGAACAATTGTCCGCTCTCCCACATTCATAAAAATGAGGGAACAGAAAAAAAAAAAAAAAAAAAAGCGTAACATTGTAATGTTCTGAGCGGACAGTACGTACTCCTAATCGTTGTGGCTCCCCAAATAACCATTAAAAAAAAAAAAAAAAAAAAAAAAAAAAAAAATTAAATTTTTTCCCATTTTTTTAAAAAAAAAAAAAAAAAAAAAAATATATATCAGCTTAAGTAGGCAGCCAACCCGCTTTACGCACGAATCGCGAACAATGCAAAGAACGCCAAACTGATTAAAGGCCTACAAACCTACACGGGTATCATACGCAGGTATGAATAACTTGTTCCCTGTTTTGCAATATGTGTTGTTTTGTGGCTCTTCTTTAACAAACATATCCATACCCATGCCCACACGTAGCAGTACCCCCTAGGGGCGAACTAATCTCACCTCCCAACTGCTGCAAAGGAGAAGAATTATGGCTACGATCTAATCTAACAAAGGAGGCTAGAGAGAAATGATTAAAAAACGAAAATGAAGGAAAACCTGGAAACCATCGTACAGGAAGAAAATGAATATAAGGAAGAATGTGTTTTTACCTCAATTGATATCTTTAGTGGACCCCACAACTATTTAAATTTTCACTACATTTGTGAAATATGTTTTAACGACATTAGTTTTATTTCCCCATACCACTGTTATTTTTTCTTGCGAAATCAGTTTGAAAATGTTGAGAAGGCTGGAGAGAATTATAAAGAAAATATGGGCGCGCAGTTCGAGAAGGAGGTCTACTGGAGGGTAATAAACGAAAACAGGGCCACAGAACTTTTTCAGAGCACAACGGCTATTTATTATGAGCAGGGGGAATTACCAGAGTGCAGACGGAAGGCGCTGGAGAATATCTCCCAGGTGATTAACAAGATGGGTGTCTCGGACTTGGAGGCCATTTCACCCTACCTCGGCGAGGTAAGCAAGGGGGCAGCAGCTCGCCGCGTGGACGTACCCACGTGGAGTAGCACGTGGGGTAACACATGGAGTAGCATATGAAAGTAATGTGCAAAACTAATATGCAAAAGGAATGTGCTAGTGCACCATGTGGAAAAATCCCTTTTGTTGCACCCCTCCCCTCATCTTCGCAGAACCCCAATTGGAAGCGAAACAAATTGGCCTGGATGGACATGATCCAAAGGGACAAATTCCGGAGGTATGAAAAAATGAGAGAAAATTTAAAAGAGACAGGAAAGCGAGAAATTGTATACAAGGTGAACAAGGAAGATGTAGAAAAAGTGAAAAATAAAAAAATGATAAAAGATTTCTTCTTCTTTGGAGTTTGTGAAAAAAAGGGACAAAACAATTTAGGCCGAATCTACATGAGCATAAGAAACGACCTCGCCAAAAACACGGAGATCTACGCTTGGCTCTTAACAAACTGTAACATGCAAACAGATCCGAGTCTTGTAGCAGACATTTCCATAGAGGAAAAATATTTGGAAAGGAAAGTAATACAAGAGGAGGATGACTATGTATATAATGATGCGCTATTGAAGGAGACTAAAAAGAGTCTTGGCGGAAATGGTAACTTTTCCTCCAGCGGAAACATAACAGTGGAAGAGAAAACACAAAATTATTTATTCGAAAAAAAGGAATATATATCTTTTGGAAAAAATGAACAGAATGATATTATCTGTCTAAATCCGTCCATCTCAAGATTCCACTGCGTGTTGTTCTTTTCGAAGGACTACCATCTCTATCTTGTAGATGTGGGATCCAAGTCAAGGACCAGGTTGAATAGTAACTTGTGTGAAATTCATAACAAGTACAAAATTGCTAATAACGATATTATCACTTTAGGGGTGTCTAAGAGAACGTATAAAATTAGCATAAACATAGACAGCGTTTTGTCTTACCTGGATAAAAAACAAAGTGAGGTTAATCGTAAAATGAGAATTATGAGTGAAGATTTGGAAAACCCACTTGGGGAAAAAAACCTACTGAAATTAAAAATCTCCAATATTTTTTATAAATGTAACGAAAACGATATAATAGACTTTTTCAAAGATTGTGGGGAAATTAAAAAGATACACTTGTATGATGTTCCTGAGAATAAAACGTCGGAACGGAACAAGGTGAAAACCGATGGAAAAAAAAACAGATCCTTGAAGGAAGCACTTGTTGAAGTTTACGACAAAGAAACTTCTGCTAAAATTATGAAAAAAAATGAATCCTTTTTGTACGGACGAAAAATTTATATTATCTATCAACCACTGTCGTCTACATATAAGCAGCGCCATGCAAAGGTGCACCCCAGAAGAGAGCGAAATGTTGATGTACAAATTACGCACAAAAGGGGAATCTACCGGGGGGAGAAAAGTACCCTCGAGGGAGACCGTTTTGGCCGCTTCAGTCGCAGGGACGACAAGAGGAAAAACTTTGGTGCGGAGCGAGGTTCGCCCCAAAGGAGGCGCAGTGACAGAAGTAGTAGTAGTAGTAGTAGCGGGGGTCGTCATAGAGGTGGACGGCGTGATGTGCACGAGAGAAGAAGCCCCAGGCGTGTCAGAAGTAGGCGCAGGAAACGAAGCGAAAGTTGTGGCAGTAGTGGTAGTAGTAGTAGCAGCGGCGTTCGGAAAAGTAAACGTAGTAGTAGTAGTAGCGGAGGCAGTGCTGGAAGTAGCAGCAGCCGTGGCGGGCGAAGCGGGCCCTTGCGAAGCTCTCCGAAACGCAAAAGGCGGAGTGAGGGACCAGAAATTGAAGATAGAAGGGGCGTCCAAAAGAGGAGATACACATATCGTAGCAGCTCCAGAAGTGATAGCGGCAGTGACAAGAGTAGCGATAGAAGTAGCAGCAAGAGTAGTGGAAAGGGTAATGATAGAAGTAGCAGCAGGAGTAGTGGAAAGGGTAGTGATAGAAGTAGCAGCAGGAGTAGTGGAAAGAGTAGCGATAGGAATAGCAGCAGGAGTAGTGGAAAGAGTAGCAGCAAGAGTAGTTACAACAGTAGCGACCGTAAAAGGCGCTTAAGCAAAAAAAGGCACAAAATGTGAGGAGGGAATTTTCCACACGCAAGTTACGTAGGACGGGAGAATACAAATTTAAATGACGCATTCATTTGAAGTAAAATTAAGAGGTTCCATCTGAAGAAGCGAACCAGTGGGACGGTCAAGTAGTGCCTAAAACGGAGAGAGACCAAAAAAAAAAAAAAAAAAAAAAAACTCTATGGGGAGATATATTGCCCCGAAAAGGGGGGAATACATCTGACTGAACCGCAACCCCACCATGGCGTTGATGGGGAGTGCATACATGGCCCCTACTTTCCCCTTCCCTTTTGTTTTATTTTGTTTTTTTTGAAGTTTTTGCTTTAAGAAGCACGCCACCCCAAGGCTGCATAACTTCATTGTACGCCTATTTAAACGCGAAAAACGCAGCTTTGAAATGCAGCTGTGAACATAATTTGTGCAGTTCTGTTTTGTATCTGTCTTTGGTGTGTTATGCATTATGGTATAGAGGCCGTGGGGCAGGAGCAGGTCCTTCCCCGTAGGGCAGAGAAAAAAAGGAGTGAACAAAGCGGCCACACCATGTGGAGATGTTTTCACATAGGTGTTTATTTAGGGCCCAACATGGGTCTCTTTTTATTTTATCACTAAACAACTTATTTTTCGTATGAATTTTTAAGTGAACAACACAGTTTTCCTTCCATTTCGGATACGAAAAGAGACGCGCTCAGATTACCACCATTCAATAAAAGGTGCGCTCAGAGTGGAACTAAATTGGGGTGTGGGGGACACATGAACACGGATCTGTTCCAAACACGGTTATACATTTTTCTCATTCTTCCCAATTACTGCAATACTGTTAGGCGGAAGCAATAAGTATAACAGGAGACCACAGCGTTCTTTTTTTTTTTTTTTTACCTCCCATGGGAAAGAAAAGATAAAAACTACACCATTGGTATTTGCACGAACCGGCTCATCTGTTCAAACCTACTTGCCTTCACGCTGCAGCTTTAATAGGGTTAAGGGGTGGACAGGGTTGATTGCCCTCCCTGAATGTTCCATTTAGGTGTTGTTTTTATTACTATAATTAAAGAGGGGTGTCCATACTATTTTTTTACGCATTAGTTAATCACCCCACATTTTTGCTTGCCGTTCAGATGAGGGGAAACAAAAAAAAAGAAAAAAAAAATACGCATGTGGCTTCGTCCAGGGGGCAAAACGTACATGTGTATATGGGTACGTATATCTATGGGTGTAGCGTATGTGTGTTCCCCGTGGGGATGGAAACCAAGCGTGCCGCTCAAGGGTATACACATATGAGCACATTGGTGCGATGCGCGAAGGGAAAATTTGTGCTTTCAAAAATGTATCAAGGATGACGAAAATGAAAAATGAAGGAAATACGCATGGCAACGGACACAGTGCAGTTCGACAACTCGGCAACTCACCAACTTGACAACTCAACAAGTAGCCTCTCTCGCATAGGAGAACTTGTTAACCCGTTTTGTGCATTACTCAAAAAAAAAAAAAAAAAAAAAAAAAAAACGCATCACGGAATATATGCATAAACGAACGCGTACGAAATGTTCCTTCCATTCACGTTTGGCTAAAATTTCGGATGGAACATTTTTCCTTTAACGATAAGGACGGTTTTCAATGAAATGTTGCATTCCTTAAAATTCCTGTGTACGTATGCACAACACATGTATACTCGTTACACGTATGCGAGTTATATATTATTAAGCATTATCCTCCCCTTGTTCTGTTGTTTCCATTGTACATACATTTGTCCCATTGTACCTTTGTACCATTTCACTGTTCCCCATCGTTTTTTGGCGTGGTTATTCGTTTAACGAAGAAAGGTTTTTTCCGCGTGGCGCCAACTGGGGAACACCTTACCTGTTGTTACATTGACATATTCGCGGACACGGTCACTAAGGAGTGTACTGAGCGCATGTTGAGCGAATGTTGACTTTACCGTGTGGGGTGTAAGAGGCTTCTAACCCTTACGAACATAGGAGTACTCACAACTGGGTGAGTGGCTGCATTGGTGGATACATATGTGGTGACACGGGCGGACCCTTGAATGAGGAAGCGTCGCCTCCTTTTAATAGCCTCTTTGCTTCTGTTCTACGCAAAAAGGATTTCCTGCTTACTCAATATATCTGCCACACCAAGCAGTAGCCCGCTCCTTTTATTTGCTCCGAAGAAACGAAAAGGAAGAACAAAAAAGAATCACAACATGGAAGACACTAAGGAAGCAATTATTGCCATGGGGTCACAGAACCTCGTAAGAAACGGTAACAGCAATGTGTACCTTTCATTAAACAATTACGCAAACAATTACTCAAGCAGTTACGCGAATGGCACTACAAAGGAAAACAAAGCAAACACCAAATTGGTGAAAAGTAACGTTTTGAGCATTTTCAGCTATACACTAAAGTATATGAACAAAAAGAGTCTGAACAAATGGCTCAGGAATAATATTAAGGCGCCTTTCTATGACACCTTTGTGCCTCGAAACAAACCCATAGCCTACATACGCTTTAAGTCTTTAGAAGATTTAAAAGTATTCGAAAAGTTGATAGAAAATAAACGCATCTACCCGAATGATAGCTTGTCAATTATTAAAATTAACAAATTCTCCAAGTATGCTCAGAAGAGGAAGTTGTTTCAGGAGAACCAGCTCGATGAAAAAGATAATGATGGACAGCAGGTCGAGCACCCCTACAATGGTGAGGAAGACAACCACCTTGGAGATAATAACCATAGTAGTAAAAAAAAAGCCAAGAGACAAAAAATGGAAAGGTCAGTGGCGGAAAACATAAAGAGGGAGACAACGGAAGAGGATCAATTGCCAGATCTACAAACCATTATCAAAATGAACAAGACACAAAAGATTAAAAGCATAGAGAACTTTGTAACTCCTTTTTATAAATACCCTTATGAAAATCAAATTAAAATTAAGCACCGATTTTTACAAAAATGCAAGGATCAGATTTTGACAAACTTGAGAAATAAATGGGAGAAACAGAGTATACTTTTTGGGGACATGGAATCTGTCCACCCCGACGATGAAGTCCATATGGGCAGCACGGGTGAGGCGAGTAGCGGAGGGAGCGCCAGTGCAGGCGCCCCGTCAAACATGCACGGAGGAAACCCCACCAGCAATAATAACGGTGAAAAAAAGAATAAGAAAAACGAAACGAGCAAAGACAGCTGTTTCAACAAAACTGTTCTCTGTGATGTAAAGCCTAGCAGCTACATCAGCAGGGAATTTTCCGTAGACAAAAAAATGAAAAATTATGAATTTGAGGTTGATAGCCCCTTGGTCCCAGACGAAAAAGGAATCAATGCGTACCGTAACAAATGCGAGTTTACCATTTCTTATGACGAAAATAACAATGTCGAGATTGGGTTTGTCACGGGGAAGATGAAAACGGATGTTAATGACGCGGGTGAGGATAAAAACGCCACCGAAGATAACAACTGCAACTTTAGCGAACACAACATAAGCAACAGTGCCTCTCCCATGAACGAGTCCCAGAGCACAAAACTAAGGAACAAGAAGCAGAAGCAGGCGTACTATTTGAACCCCATCGTTAAGAGCGTCGACGACTGCGTGCACATTCATCCCTGCATGAAGCAGGTAGTCCAGGAGATGAAGAGCATAATTAAGGATTCCAGTTACCCGGTCTTCGACAGGGTGTACAAAACAGGTAAGGGTTTCGCGATGGATCGCATAGTGGCTCCTTGCTCAGCGTGCTATGCCATTTTGTGGGAGCGTAGTATGCCCGTTTATGTCCGTTGCGTATTTCTTTGGAGTATTCCGTTGAGTGTACCATTGGCACATCGCCTCCACGCTGCTTTGACACCACCACCCCCTTCCTTGTAGGAGTCTGGAGAATCCTCGTCGTGCGCTTCAACAGTATGAAGGAGCTGATGATCACCGTGCAGACGTACTCACTAGATCAAAAGAAAAAAAAGGAAATCAAAAAGCTGCTGATAAACAGGCTGACGAAGAAGAAGGACGAAGCGTGCATGAGCTTCTCCGACTATAAAGTTGTTTCGCTTTATCTGCAGGAGCATGAAAATTCAAATGACTCGACAAGCCAGTCCCCAAATGAACACCTATGGGGAGTGGAATACTTGGAGGAAATCATCCTAAACAATCGTTTCTTATTAACACCGTCCTGTTTTTTTCAAGTCAATCATACCAGCTGTGAAATTCTATACAAGAGAGTCATTGATTATATCAACACAAGTGAGAAAAAAAAAAACTATATATTTGACTTGTGTTGTGGCACGGGCACCATAAGTATTTGTGCTGCGAATGAGCTGAAGGGGAAAGACGTACACATCGTCGGCATTGATATTTGTGAAGATAGCATTATTTGTGCAAATAAAAATGCGGAAATGAATAAAATTAAAAATTATAAATTTATTCAAGGGAGAGTGGAAGAATTATTTGCAAATGAAATTAAAAACGTATCTGAGAAGAACTCCAACGTAATAGTTATTGTAGACCCCCCGAGATGTGGCTTGGCGAATAGCGTCCTAAACATTTTGAGCTCCAACCAACTGATTGGGCAGATCATTTACGTTTCGTGCAATCCAATTACCCTCATTAGCAACGTAACACATGTTTTGTTTCAAAACGAAAACCTGAAAATCAAAAACCTCGTCTTTGTGGATATGTTCCCCCACACCTTCCACCTGGAGTGCATCACCAATATGGTGAAGGGGTAGCCGGGCCCTCGTCATTAAGCTTACACTTTAGGAGCCTTTACATGTTAAGTTCGCACGTCTCACCCTGTACCACCCCCGCTTAATGTCACATGAGCGCGTTTGCCCAAATGGGCCGTGGAGCGGAAAACACCAATTGTTAACCATACATTTATTTGCGTAAATGTTTTTGTCATAAATTGTGCCCTTTGTTGAAACAAAATTATTTAGCATGCATTAGTGTCATTTGTGTCACCCTTAATGACCAACGCAGTGCCATTTGCATATAAGCACTCCGCGCAAATATGTGCTTTTTTTTTTTTTTTTTTTTAAACCCTTGCAAACCGTATACAACGCTGCAAAGCTTTAACCCTCTTACCATTTGTTCGAAAGGTTAGTACTAAAAAGGGGGGAAATCAACTGACGGTTCTTACGCTCGATCGGTGTTTGCGGGGACCCGCTTAAAGCTGCAATATGGGTGACCGGGGGACAATGCCATTGCTGGTGCCATAGCTGCTACGGCTGCGAAATAAAGGAACGAATAATTAGTAATACCCCGCATGCGCACTTTTGTTATATGCTGTGCATTCCTGCGCTAACGCAAACGTTGCAGGGTAAAAGAATGCTCATAAAAAGGCACTATAAACTTGTTTCAGTCATTTCCGCAAGTTCGTACATCAAATAAATGGGGAAGTACTTCTTGATGACGTAGTGGATTGACGTTATACTCTAACTTTTGATCACCTGTGATCAGTGTTTATTTTTCCGATCTGCAAAAGAGCCATTGTAGCCACTTTTGCTGGAGAAGCGTTTTATTTTTTTTGCGTAATGGGCTTCTCTAGAGTATGTGAATGATACGAATGAGGTTACGAACCTCTTGAGGGGGGAACTGTGCCGCTGGGTTGAGCTGCTTGCGCGAGTCTGAGTGAGGAAACCCGATAAGGAGAAGCGGGGAAAGCGTGCGCTGGGTAACCCGGTGAAGATTATAACCCTGCTAAGAGCAACCTGAAAGAACATAATTTCCAGCGGAGTAACTCAACCCCGCGTGGAAGCAGCGCGCCCACACCTGGCCCGGCACTCACCCCGCAGGACAACTGCGGAGCAACTGACGCAAACGTTGGTTCCTTTTCTTCACGTGAATACAACAGCCCTTTGTGTATTCTCCCCACTTGCCCTCTATATCACACATTCCCATTTTGGCTGCTCCTTTTTTTGTGAGAACCGAATTGAATTCCAAACAAGTTTTTGACTTGCTACAGGAAATTAAAATAGGAATTGCAAAATGACGGCTTAAGAGGAATGGCGATTAGAAAAGAAAAAAAGAAGAAAAAAAAAAAAAAAGAGAAACAACTCTGGCTTGAAAAGCAAAATTTTCGAACGTGAGTCATTTATTCATGTAAATTTGTCTTTCACTTCGTTTCATAATTACCCTATTTGTTTTTCGAGCGGTGCGCTTGCGCTGTTCACCAAACGACAACAAAATGTGGGCGCTCATTGCGTTTGCCCTACACACCGGTTTCCTACTGGGAAAATCGGAAGACCTACCATCCAAAGTGCCCGACAAGCTTCTAAACAAAAGTTTAATAGACATTCTAAACTACAACTTCAACGTCAATGATGTCATGGGCATGTTCGAGAAGACATTTAAAAACAGTGTTGACGATTTCAAGATTGAGGAGGAGAATAATGAGATGAAGAATTTGCAGTTTAAGAAATACAAATTTGACAAGCAAAATTATAATTTTATGTATTCCTCTTTTAAGGACTACTGTAATATTTCATTTACAAAGTGGCGATTTTGCCATGACCACTGAGGTGTGGGAGTGTGTTCCCACCGCTTGATCTGATATACTTGAGATGTACACTGCAAATGCCATGCCCTTGTTATAGTGCACCGATCCATGACTCCATTTACACTTGCCCCCCCTTTTGTTTTTTTTTCACAGGCCTTAACGAAATCGCAAACACGGAAAACTGCAAAAAGTACGCGGACAAGGACTACATAACAGATGTCTTCAATAATATCGACAGCGATTTTTACAACCGATTTTACAAAGAAATAAACCAACTGAAGCACTACATTTTCGAAATAGGGAAGCTGCTAAAAAGGAGAGACGAACTGAACAATGAAATTAATGGCACATTTGAGGGAATTAAGAATACGAAAGAATGGGTTAAAAAAACAATGACGCAAAAGTCGGGGACGGCATTGCCTCTCATTCGATATTTTGAAGATATGACTTATAACTTAAAGCATACGAACAAAAGCTTGAGTTATTACGATATGATGGTACAGTACGGAAACGAATTAAACGGCATCATCAAAAATGCACTAGTGGAATATGTATACATGTATAAAGAAACAAAAACATATCAAAAGAAAATTGAAAAGTACATGGAAAGAAATGCTAGGATCCTTTCCAAGATGCACAAGAAAATTATTCTCAGCATTTTTTACATGATTTCTGATATGAACAGAACAAATGAAAAAATCGACAACTTGATAAACAAAAAGATCAACGAATTTAATGATTGGGTGAATTCTGAAAATGAAGAATATGTGAGAAAATTAAAGAAAGTTAAATCCAACATTGATTTTAATTTAGATGATATTAATGAACATATAGACCAGTCCAAGGAAAAATTGGAGAAGGATAAAATTGCCTTTATAAATATGAGCAAATTTTTAACCTTCCAAAACCCCACCAAAACGATAAGATCCATCATGCATTTGTTAAACAATAAATATTCAAAGGATGTAAATATCATTTTTTTGTATAATGAAGAGTACATTGATTTTTCTCTAGACAAGATGATAGAAGTTCCTGAGCCTTGCAAAATCAACATCGACTCCAAGTCCACAGATAAATTTAACTTTGCCCATTTGGATTTTATGGAAACGTCCAAGTATGAACAAATACTCAACACCCCCCCCTTCGGAAAAACCGATGTCAATCATATAGACAAACAGAAAATCGATAACATTATTAATGAGATATTTCTGCAAGACAATAAACTTGACAACGAGCATTGGATTAAGGCAAAGGAATTTGAGGACGTCAAAAGTAATATTTCTCTTAGCGATCCGAATAAAGAAATACAAGTGTACACGGAAGAAATGGAGAACAGCATAAACACAACTATGGACCATTATGTGTTCAAACCCACCATTAAAAGATACATCTCTAGTGTTAGAAATCTTTTTAAGAACCCCATTTTCTACTTTAACAAATATATTTACTCCTTCGAGAAGAATTTTGACTCGCCTTCGAGCGGAACGGACGGTGCGCTCTTCAGCTTCCCTATTAAGATCGCTTTAGATGAGGTGAAGGAGGAGCAGAAAAAGGAGGAACAACAGAATGAGTCTGCGGGAAAGCCGCCTAGTGGGGAAGTCAGGGCGAGCGGAGGACCCGAGGAAGGTACAGAAATGGAGGTTACCAGTCGAGCCGAACCCAAGGAAGAAGAAAAGGGGACAGAGGTCAAATCCCCGGGGGAGGAAGCGAAGGGGTTATCGACCACCTCCCCTGGTGAGAAAGCAAAGGAGACAGAGGCCAAATCTCCTGGTGATGAAGCACAGGGGACAGAGGCCAAATCCCCTGGCGAGGAAGCAAAGGGGGCAGAGGCCAAATCCCCGATTAACAACATAGAGGTAACCGGACACGACTTCGAGAATGACGCAGAAAAGTGGGCGAACACTTTTGTGAAAGAAGGGCCATTCCGTGAGCTAGAAAAGGAGCTGGAAAACGATATAGACACTGAATTAGACGCGGAGCTCGAAGCAGAGTTGGCCAAAACCGAATTAGAAGTTAACCTAGAAACAGAACCCGAAGGTGAGATAGAACCCAAGTTTGAAAGGAACCTAGAAACAATGCCTTGGGGGCAACAAGGCAAGGAAGATGCCTTTTTTGGGAATGAAATGGAAGCAATGTTGGCAAATAAGAAGGATGATAAGAGTGAAGTGGGGGGTGAAAAAAATGTAGAGGAAGCAAGCTTGGAATATTCAGATATGCTCGAAAGGGAGCGCGAAGGTAGGGACAAAGAAGGAAATGAAATTGAAGTGCAGAAGGAGAACGAAGGCGACAGGGAACACAAGGACGACATGCTCTATGGTATGGATGATAAGTCTATTCAGTTTGAGGAGGAGAAAAGCGGTGTTGTAGAAGGTGGGGATGAGCAGGGGGAAGGTGAAGAGGCACATAGAGAGGACGGCAACGGAGAGGACAAAGAGGAATATAAGGAGGAACAGGAAGAGGACCATACGGAGGAACAAAAAGAGGACCATAAGGCGGAAGATAAAGAGGATGGCGGGGAGAATCCCAACGAGGGAGAAGTAATGAAGGTTAAGAAACACAGAAAGGCGAAAAAGAAGAAAGAAAACAAGGAGGACGACATGGATGATGAAGAGGGAGAAGATGACGACGAAGACGACGATGATGAGGACGAGGAGGATGATGAAGATGACGAGGATGAAGAAGATGAAGAAGGAAAAAACGAGAACAACTATGACGATGAACATGATTATCCCCATGGAAAGGAAAGTTCAGAAAAATATGACCTAATTAGCGAAAAAAATAAACACAGTTTATCCATTTTCGACAGCGCAAGTATGAAGTATCTCTGGAGAATACCAATTATTAATCGGCTCTATAACACGTGCAGCGAAAATAAAAAGGAATGTGCAGAGAAAAATGGCATAGAAGTTATTGACCTTTACGAAATAGGAGAAGAAGAGTTGCGAGAAATATACCAGGATTTTCAAAACTTAAGTTATGAAGATTCTCTAAAAAGGGTTAAGGAGAAAATTATTTATGCCGTGCCAGATGTGGAGTACCTTGCAAAAGCTTTGAAAATACACAAAAAGAATAAGGAAGAAAATAAGGAGAGGAATTTCTTATACGACGCGCTGTATGGAAATGATTACTTGATTATCAAGTCCAAGGGTGTTAATGTGGAGACGTTCATTTATCCCTATTTCGAGACGTTAAATTTGCAGCTGAGTGAGATAAAGACATGCACCATGGAGGATTACTACGGCTGCATGAAGAGATACATCAAGAAAAAAATTAAGAAGAGCACCCCGGAGGAGGAGGATGAGGAGGACAGGGAGGAGGAGAAAGGGGTCGACCATGAGGACGACAAACCAAGCGACATACTAAACAACACGAAGAATGAAAAAATCCTGTTCGTGTACCTGGGGACCTTCAAAGATGAAGTGTTCAAATTGCCCAAGTCCAAAATCGGAGACCACCTAAAGAAGGCCCACCTGAAGCAGTTCCTGGACAACCCCAAGGACTATCACTTTTTTAACAACCTTTTAATCAAAAAATATGAAGAGGAGTACTATTTCTTCCAAAAGTTGAAGGTGTACACGGTGTACCATTCCAAATATAAAAATTCAATCATGTACGGAATTGACTTTAAATTTTATGTTTCCTACTTTTCCAAAGAAGACATACAATATTTGCCCCTGTCGTACTACCATGACTCCATCATATATTTCAAGGTAGTGCTGGCCACGTCTAAGTTTGGGTACCAAGAAATTGTCCCTATTGATGATGAAATTATAAAGTTTGGATTAATGCTTTCGTTAGATAATAAAAAAAAGAATGTGCATTATTTAATTCATTCGGAAGTTACCAATGATACGAACTATGACTTACTGAAGAACAAAACAGGGGTTGTCAGAATTTATGAAGTGTCTTATGAAAATCTTAAAATGCAAATGGTAGATAAAAAATACACAGTCCAAGTAACAAAAACGATGAAAGTTATTCTGCATAAGGAAGTTACCTTTAACAATAATAAAAAGAGAACACACGATTACATTGACACCTTTTATGAAAAGATGAATAAAATTATGAAAAATAACATGGACCTGGATTTGTTCCGTAAAACGTTTTATGTGCATTTGCATAAAATGTAAGAACGTTGGAGAGGAATGAAATTCCACGTATTTGTGTTGTTCCTTCTTTTCTTTTTTTTTTTTTTTTTTGTGAAAAATGCGGAATTGTACACATTGTGCAAAATGTGGAGATTATTTCCTATTGGGGAAAAACACTACGCACGTTTTTAATTACCGCCATGTGCGCTTTTTTAACATTTCCTCAATACTTACTTCACCGCCCACTTCTTACATGATTTGTTTATTTTTTCAGTTCCTGTATGATAAATGGCTACATAAAATATGCATCCCCAATTTATCATATTTTATTTGAGCTGTTCATTAGACTCTACTTTTATGTACTTCATTTTTTTTTTTTTTTCCTCTCTCTAATTAGTTTTAACGAAGCTTAAAATTTGAAGCTGCGCTGTCTTGTCTTACATATAGCTATGTTTATATCATACGCATGGTGTGTTACGCGTATCACTTTTCGCACAACCATTTACGGAGATTTCCCTCCGTTTAATTAAGCCTTTCCAGTGCTACTTTAAAAATAATCCTTTTTTTCTAAAAAGCCCCCTTTGGAGCGATCGCCCTACACTTTGCGAGGTTATGAGGCAATGTCTGAACAAGCGCCTTTCGTAAATGAGAAAGGATAAATTGCTCCAATTGAGATGACATATTTTACACACTGAGCGAGCTATCATCAATAGGCACAGTGCGAAACACACATATTGTTCTGTCCTTGTGCACGAACTGTGAAGCACTTAATTTGTTCACAATGAGCATGAGCTCAATCGAAAACGCGCAAATTCATTGAATGTCACCATTTTGTGTGTGCCCCGCCCCATGCACACAAACCAAGGTTGGCGCTTCTTTGTCATTAAAACGTAAAAATGAATAGGTACCTACATCCTTGTGCATACGGAGAATGTAATACGACAACTGGGAATATGTTCTTCCACAAAAGGAGCTCGTAAAAACAGATTGCACTACCTTTTAAACGCGTTGTGGAAGTAAAAAATTATGAACGGCAAGGAAAAAAAAAAAAAAAAAA